TTGAAAGAAGAATTTGTTTGAAATTCTGCTCGACTTAAGCTACGTTAAATTTTTATCGCATTATGCATGGTTTGCCTCTAACGGTCTTCAAGGTTTTTAATGCCTTTCTTTGCCGGTACAGATTTGAATATACGTCAGTAAGTGTAATTCGGTGACAGTTACCAAGACTGACTACGTAAATAAGTAAGCCTTAAGGAATTTATATGTATTCGTTGTTGATTATATTTGTTTGCCGCGGGTTGTGGGTTTGTAGCCCTTAATAAAGTTAAAATAACCTGTTAAATTTTAGCGGATTAGCCGGCGGCACGGGACAAATCGGAGAAATTGGAACTGGCGAGGGAAAAGTAAGAATACTCTCTTAACTCTTTACCCTATCGTTTTTGTTAGGGTGGCGGAGCTGGTGGAACGATTCGAACTGCTGGCGGTGCATTCGGTCGTCTTGAAGCAGCTAGAGAAGAAGAGTACTTTTATAAAGAGGTATTTACTTCAGCTTACGCCAGTGGGATGCCTCTAAAAGCTCACCTACTCTATTTGCAGAGGAAACTGTTCTCGCAAATTTCGACCCTTTGTTGATAAACGCCCTTTACTCTAAGCAAAGGTTTATCTCACTTCCTTTCGCAAAGGGCACCATTTCATATTTTACACAGGTTAGTCATCAGTAAGTAGCACACTGCTATCTCGATCCTTTTGCAGGCGCTGTTTTTAGTTAGCGAAGCATACATAAATGTAAATTCTTTTCTTTGTCACCACCAAATGTCATCACAATAGTGATTTTGCTGCCTTCGCATGTGAATATGCGCAAGCGCAAAAATTTGTTTTCCTTATAAATTCACTCGTCCATGACGTGACAGATGTTCCAAACATGTTGGTAGTATTGTGATTGAGATAACGGATATTTATGATTAGAGACGAATGGTTTCCTGAAGAATTGTCAAGCTGCAGAAATCATCGCTGCTATTGTACTTGCCAGCCACTATTTTAAATTGCTGTTCGTTGCAGACCTAATTCCTGGAGTAAATTTAGATAATTTAATTTATTCCATATCTCCATTCTCCAGAGAAACGTGTGTAGGTCCACATTTGAAGAAACAGGGCATGCAGTTTTTCTAACATTCCCGTGTCTCCTACTTAACGGGGAATGTAACCTTTCTTTGCCTTAAGATGTAGGAAAACTTTTTTGATTTTTTGGGTGTTTTGTAGGGGCATCTGTACTAACCTCTAGTGTTGGCAGAAAATTAAAGGTCTGTCAGAATACTTTCTTTGGTGTCTGGGAATCTGATTCCAGTACTTCACCGAACCTTTCTCGTAAATTACCTTTTGCTAACGTGAACGTTTATTACAGAGTGTCATGAGGCATTCGATACTGTTATCAAGTCGATTTCGTTGTAGAAGCCATACCTAGTGTGCTTATGCCCGTTTCGATGCATGTAGGTGTACACAACGTACGGTTCATTATTTGCACAAAAGTACAGTTACGTCGTGCCGTTATTAAGATTGCAGGGGCGGTTCTTCCCAGTCACCATTTTCCACTTTTAAATGTCTGTTCTGACATGTGAATTTGATTACACATGTGACGATTGTATGCGGATTGCATATCGGCTCAGTATTCAAGGCAGCTACTTCATCCAGAAAGAGGCATATTCTCCATTTGAATGATGGCCTAAACAAGTTACAGGTCAGAACTTTCACTTTCACTTGTGAACTTTAGTAAGTGGATTTTCATTCTCTCGCTTCAGAATTTGCTTCTAAAGAGATTTGCTTTGAACTCTTTGATTTGTCTGCCCCTGATTACCGTTGTTTTGATACTATTTCCAGTTCCCGACCTATCTTCACTACTAAGAAAACACTATCTGTTATAGGTGGCCTTGACATGCTGTTACAGCTTGGTTTTCGCTCTGTAGAGGGTCCTTTCATCGTTGATCTTGTGTGGAAGTGTGTTTGATTTTAATTTGGCTTTTGGTTGGCAGTAATTAGCATTGACGATTCTGGTGGAAATATTTCGCATTATTTAACTGGCAAAATAAAATTTTTGTGTATCATCTCATGGTTTCATTTGTGAGCTGAGGGCTTATTAAATTTAATGTTACCCTAGAAAGTCAAGGAGGAAGAAGTTAGTATAGCATATTAACGTTTGTTTGACTAAGGTGGCCTTTGCATGGAGACATGACAGCGTGGTTGCAGAATCACTGCGCAAGAATGTTTAATAATTTCCTTCAAGCAAAATTTTTCCGGGAAAAGTCGCTTTTTCAGGCATGACAAAAGTTACTTGTATTGCTACTATTTTCCTTTGCATGTCTTACATTAATGAGTTGTTTAGAAATTTGTCTATGACTGAAAATATATGACGATAGTGTCATGTTTGTATACTTTTCATGTTGCATTTTCCTATCATGCACGATATCGGCAGATCAAACCAGAAATGGATTTCTCGAATCATCGTATTTAAGTGTGATTACTGTTAAAAAGGTTGCTTTTTTCTTATTTTCTTTTAATAAGCGTACAAGTACAATAGCAACACCGGCTGACTGAAATGCAGAAATTTTAATGATTAGTTATACGTACATATCGGGGTACATATCAGCTCTCAGAACCGCATCCACAGATTATAACGGGGCTTAAATAAGCTCTTAAAGTTGATTTTGCTTTTTATGAAGAAATATTTATTTAGGGAAAATAACCGATCAGGTGTGTAATGCGTCACTAAATATTTACACGTTGATAAACGTGAAAATTGGCATTTCTCGCAAGAAACACTCACTTTGTGAAATTGTTTAGCAACAGCGACAATTAGCGGCATTGCATAAACATCTGAAAGACGAAGTGGAACATCATGAACAGCTAATCAAGCATCATATGGAGGCAATGGAACGACACAAGAAGAAGATATCTGAAATTGTAGAAGAGCAGACAGCATTGAAGAAGTGGACTTAGGCGAAAGGTTTTATTAAGCGATTCCACATTAACGTTTTTGGTCTGTGCCTTGAATTTTTTCATGCTGATGAACTACGTACATCGAGACATTTTTCGTTTAATCAAAAATCGTTCATATATTTTGCACGTATTTTCCTTTCACAGGAAACGGGCGTAAAGTTTTCGCTGTTAATAGCCAGAAAAATGTTTTGTTGTGTTAATGAATTACTTTGGTTGTTGAATATATGTCTGTGCTCATTTGACTCAATAAATCTCATCAGCTATTCGTTGTTTCTATGGATTATTCTGCGCTGTAAATATTGTGGTAGTTAATATTGCAAGTTGCGGTTTTGCTGGTTGTAAGGGACTGTTTCCTAAGGCTGCTAATATTTTCTGAGCGAAAGAGAACGTCGAGAAATATAGGTTTTATTTCGATCTGTAGAACCTAACTATCAGTAGTGTTAATGGCAAACGAGATATCACGCTGAAGTCTTGTGAAATGAGAGGAATGTAGTTTTAAAGAAAGTCTACTGAAGGGCTGCCGAAGGAAACAGTCATATGGATGAAAACGGTTTCCTTTTCTGGTTTGACGGAATACATAAGTGATGTGTTACTTTTCACTTACGCTCCTGATATTGGTTTACTTTTGGAAGGTACCGGATCTGTTTGTCAATATAACATCGGATTCAGAGCCGAATGGTCCCAGGTTCGATACTCCACCGGGTACTCGTCGTTTGTCAGGTTGATCAATGAGTACATCACTTTGTGGGAGGGGTACGGGATTACATGCTAGAGTGGTCATCCATTTGCAGATAGTCTTAAAAATAAAGAACAGTTAATCCTTACTGACAAGGAGATCTTTAATGACAAGGAAACGGAGATTCGCACCGCAAGCTCAAGCAAGACCGAGGTTCCAACGGTTAAGTTCAGCAGCAGCGAGCAAAAAATTTGCAGGCGGTTACCCTGCATAAATTTGTACATCCATAGGGTATGGAGACGTACAGTGTCGAGCGATGACGTTTGCCGTGAAGTTCTAATCAGCAAAAATGTTTGTGAATGCATCGTGAGCGCGAGTGCTGGGTGGTTGAATGTAGGTGTAATTATTACAGTGCTCAAGAAATCGGTTTGCCGTCAAGCTCAAAATTTTGTATTTGCAGAAATACCG